CAAGCCCTGGTTTATTTTGCTTTACCCAATGAAAAGGTCTCCAGCCCCCCCACATCCCCACCCTGACCCTCGTTCCATCAGCGCAGCCTTTCCCTGCAATGGGTTTCCATGAGGCAGGTGGCTCCCCCAGAGACCCTCCTGTCCCCTTGTCACCACATCCGAGATGTCAGTGCCAAAGGGAGGATGCCTCCATCCATCCGGCACCCCCTGATTTTCCTTTCCTCTCCTCCCACCTCACCTTTGAAGCCACCTGTGGTTCCCCAGCCATAGGACACCCACTGCCCACAGATGCTGCAAGGCATTGCACCCCAAAGAGACAAAGTTAGCAAAGTTTCGGGCTTAATGTCACCGGTTTCGGGCAATTTCATCACAATCTTTGCTATTGCTTCTGCTAACGAAGCTGGTTCGTCCGGGCACACCTGATGCTGACTGGCCGGAGCATCTTGCCCCTGGGAAAAGCATCTTGGCTGGAGAGCTGGGCACCAGCACTGGGGCAAGGGGGTGACACAGCCACCTACCATGCAGCAGCTTTGCAGTACTTTCACAGAGCCGGGCTGACCTGCTGAGCCTTAAAAGCAAAAATCTGCCTTGTTCTGCCTTAAAATTGCAGCCTGCGTTTGCCCAGAGTGAGTCCCATCACTACTGCCTGCACCCAGCACCCTCCTGTGTCCCTGCCTGCATAAAGCTGGGGACACCCAAGGGTGGGTGTTGCACAGACCTGCCCCCCCCCTCTTAAATCTGCAGCGACACAATGCCATCACCTGCTCCGTCAGAAGCACTCACGGTCGCAGATAATGATCATAACTATTTATAATTACTGCTTTATTAAGGGGAAGGCAGGGTCTCCTCTTCCCCAGCCCAGGTCCCTCAGGTATGCTGCAGCTTTGCCAGGGAGAAGATTTTGAGGGATCTCAAACTGCAGACCTTGGAAGCACAAGGAGAAGCAGCAATGGACACCCAGGATCATGGGATCCAGGATGTTCCAGGGCTGGCCATGCCTGCACGGATATCGCACCCACATGGTCAGAGCGTTGTGGTGTTGGGACACGCATTTATTTTCCTTGCATTGCTCCTAAAAAAATCTCATGAGAAGATGATGTCTTCTGGGCTGCTTTAAATCCTCTTCAGGATAATAATGTAAAACAATAATGATCTAAAACAATAATGATATAAAATTATAATTCAGACAAAGTGCTACGGTACCTTGGGCTGTGTAACTCAACAAGAAGAAGACCTGTTGGGGCACTGAGATGATCCCAGCAGGACATGTCCCAGATGGGCACTGGTATAAGTATGGGAACCCACCTTTGAGGACATTAAGAAATTAAGGGACTAACATCTTTATCGTCTCCCAGCTTCATTTTCCTGCCTCCCCTTCCCCAGGTCCTTCCAACAGCAGCTGGCCCAGCTCCACCGCAAGCAAGAGCCACCTCCTGAGGGAGAACTACACCTTCTCAGCGTACTACCAGCACTCATCCCCCATGGCTGCCATGTTCATCCTGGCCTACACTTTCATCTTCCTCATGTGCATGGTGGGCAACATCCTGGTGTGCTTCATCGTGGTGAAGAACCGCCAGATGCGGACAGTCACCAATGTGTTCATCCTCAACCTGGCCATCAGTGACCTGCTGGTGGGCATCTTCTGTATGCCCACCACCTTGGTGGACAACCTCATCACGGGTGAGCGGGGCAGCAGAGGGGCAGGACACGAGTAGAGGAGAGAAAGTGGTGGGGAACATCACCCACTTTCTGCTCCCCACGCATGAGGCCACCGCTGTTGATTTTTTTGGTGAAGATGAGGAGGGCAGGTAGTGGCCTCTCAACCATCTCTGATGAAAGGTGTCATTTAATTTAGAGCTACTATTTTAGGGGGGGGCAAGTCTTTTGGGGTTTTTTTTAGGTTTTGGACATATTTGGCAAATTAAGTATGACCTTAACGCTGCGCTTACATTTTTACTTGAAGTTCAGCCATTCTCTATCAAGCAACACTGAAAAAAACCCTCTTCCTCTTCCATTGATCTCCTCCCATGCTGGCTCAGCCCTGCCCATTGACCTTTCCAAAGATAAAAGGCAACATTGGCACAGCTGGTGGAGTTTAGCCGCAGCGGTAGCCAGGGTAAAAGGCAGAGTCTGTATTTATTTATTACAGGGTGCAATTTACTTAATGCAAATGCCTTAGCGTTGGGGTCAAGAAACAAGAGGAAAGCCCTTCTGATTGAGGAGCCCAAGGTTGGTCCCCATGATAACAGCTCAAATGCTATGTAAGGGTAGGAGAAATGACAATCACCATGCTCCTTGAGTTTCTAAGAGTGTAATGTGCATCTTTTTCACCAATTTTGGGGTTTTTCTCCACACATCTACACAGTTAAAAGCCATCCCCCCTTAGAAGCAGGATTTAGCATCCCCCAGCAATAACAGGGTGGATGGGGACATCTAGAGGGACCTGCTGATAGACCCATCCAAGCCAAAGGCACTTACAACCTCCACATTGTCCCCTCACAGGGTGGCCCTTTGACAACACCATGTGCAAAATGAGCGGCCTGGTGCAGGGCATGTCCGTCTCTGCCTCAGTTTTCACACTGGTGGCCATCGCCGTGGAGAGGTATGTTGGTACGGGGATGTAGGGACACAGGGACCAAGCCACCCCCAGCGCATTCAGGTGTCCAGTACAGTTTCCATCATGGGAAAGCTCCTGGGGATGCCAGGAGCATGTCCCAGTTTGGCAGGACCACAAAGCTGTTCACAGGGAACTCCACCAAGGTGTCCTTCCCCACGTTGGGCTGAAAACACCAAAGCTGGAGACATCCCAACCTATCTCTGCCAGCAAAAGCAGCCCACCTTACCCTCCCTTCCCACACCCGGGGTCCTGGCTACCCTCCTTCCCCAGGGATGTCTCACCAGGTGCCCAAAGCCACAACTGTCTGCCCTCCCACAGGTTTCGCTGCATTGTCCACCCCTTCCGGCAGAAGCTGACGCTGAGGAAAGCCCTGGTGACCATCGCCATCATCTGGGTGCTGGCCCTGCTCATCATGTGCCCTGCCGCCATCACCCTGACTGTCACCAGGGAGGAGCACCACTTTATGGTGGACACCTACAACAACTCCTACCCCCTCTACTCCTGTTGGGAGGCCTGGCCCGAGACAGGGATGAGGAGGATCTACACCACAATCCTCTTCTCCCATATCTACGTGGCCCCCCTCGCCCTCATCGTCGTCATGTACGCCCGCATCGCCTTCAAGCTCTTCAAGTCGGCAGCGCCTGCCCATGGCCGAGAGGAGTCGGAGGGGAGGAGGGTCTGCCGGAGGAAGGCCAAGGTCATCAACATGCTCATCATCGTTGCGCTCTTCTTCACCCTCTCGTGGCTGCCCCTCTGGACGCTGATGCTGCTGACGGACTACGGGCGGCTGAGCGAGGGCCAGCTCCACCTGGTCACTGTCTACATCTTTCCTTTCGCCCACTGGTTGGCCTTCTTCAACAGTAGCGCCAACCCCATCATCTACGGCTACTTCAACGAGAACTTCCGACGGGGCTTCCAGGAGGCCTTCAGGGCTCCCTTCTGCTCGCACCACCACCATCGCCACCACAGGCCCTACGACCCCAGGAGTCACAGCTTCTTCGGTGCCCGCAACCGCGTCTTTGCCCAGGCACGGGCCAGCAACTCGCCACCCATCTCTGAGTCGGGGCCGCTGGCACCGCACCACACGGGCATCCCCGCGTGGGATGGCTGAGCAGCCGCATCCATCAGGCACCTCTGGACCACGGACTTGCGGGGTGGAATGGGAATTCGCCACATCGTGGGCTGTGAGCCATCAAAATAAAGGCATGTCCCGCTGACATCACGTCCCTGCCTTGGCTCCTCCATTTCCCCTAGCAGCGCCGTTCCAGATGAAGGGCAGAGGGGGGCCACCAGTTGAGCCCCCTGACACCATGGGCCCCGTGTGCCCTGGCTGGGGCTGTGAGCACAGGGAGCGGGGAGGGAGAACGTGTGCCAATAGGCTGTCCCATGCCATGCTTTGCCACACCATGGAGAACCATGGAGTCCTTTGCTGGACGATGCCATGCTGTGCTTGGCCATGCCCCAACAGGCAGCACGGCCAACGGCAGGTTAGAGCGAGGATGGTGACCCCTTCGGAGAAGAAAGACATGTCTTTATTGAACTGAAAATGAGTGCTAGACAGCAATGAAACTTCAGTCAAAAAAAAATAATCTGTCGAGTATAAAAGAAACCGGTTTAGTCTACTACATTAATAACCTCATGATATGCAAACGTCAAACACTTCCATGCTACACCCACCAAAACAGCTCCATGGTTCTTACCGTGATGGTGCAGCCAGAGGATTCGACACCCCCAGCTCCTCGGAGCTTGGCCTGTCCTACCCAGAGTGGGCGCCATTACCACATCCAAACACTTACAGCAGGCGTGCCGGCGGGTGTGCTCCTCTCCTACTAAAAAAAATCCCCATAAACTAAAGAAGCTCGGATTGCACACATCAGTCCCAACAGCGGCGGCGGCTGGCGTGACACAGCACAGCCACCCTGCAGCTCAGTTAAACCCAAATTCTATGTTTATTGAGGACTTCTAATAGCGTGATACCTCAATTCAGTAATTTGTGGAATATCTAAATATCGTTAAATATGTTTTTTAAAAAACCCTAACCCAACTCCGGACTAAACAAGATGAATGTTAAAGTAAAAAGTTAGAAGGGATGCTGTTTACATTAACTTTCTTTAAAAAATATAATTGTTTTTCCTTTTTTTTTTTTTTTTAAGTCAATTAACCACAGTGGTGAGACGTGCTCTCTTTTTCAGCCGTTACACTGTAGCATGCAGAGCTTTACTTCCCCGATCACACCAGCCCCGCTGTCACCGAACTGAAAGGGACAACTTTGCACCCGCGTGCAGAATGGTGCCGTCTCCCCATCACATGGAAAAGAGTTGTGTCACCACTGTGCCATAGGGCAGCTGAAAAAAAAACAGGAGTCTCTTGGTCAATGCCAGGGTGCGGTTGAGAAAACCTTCCGTGTTCTGATAGAGAAGTCTGTAGGAAGCTGTGAACAGGATCAGTCCAGAGGAGGAAAACCCTTCTGTTCGTCCAAGTCTCAGTCAATGTACTGCGATAGCCAGCGGAAACCTTCGCCATAGCCTTGCCTCTTCAGCACGCTGCACATGAACACCTCCATGGGCCGAGCGTTCAGGTCTTTCAGCGGCACGTTGCCCTGGGGAAATCCAAAGGGGAGTCAGACACACACACATGGAGTCACCTCCGTCCAAGAAAATCCCAGGGAATTCCCTCTCCCGGCCACACACTGGCCCTTTTGCGAGAGGGAGTGGCCCACAGGACTTGGGGAGCCAGCCGCGTGGGAGAATGGGCATTGGGAATGCTGACGCAAACCATTTCTGAAGCACATGGTCTGATGTACCACTGTTAATTGGCGGTGCAATACAAGAAGTGATCGTCACCACATGGGTAAGCTAGTGTCAAGAGCAGTCCTGGGGTATTTTACTACCATTAGCCAGCGTTTCCCATCGATTCTCTCTAACCGTGCTGGTTTTAAACACTGAAAAAATGGTTGGACGGGCAACGGGATGGAAACGCAGAGTAACAGAACCATAAGAGCCAGACAAGGTGTAAAAATACTGGCCTGAAGCCTGCCTGCCTGATCATTGTACAGGTACGGTGTTTTCTGGGGCGTTATTACTACTAAAGATTCGGCTTAACATTGTGGACAAATTCACAGTAACACCCCGATTAGTTTCAGGACGCAGCCTCACTCCGCAACAAGACACCAAGCCCTGTGCAGACGATCCAAGGTGTGGATGTCTCCATACCTTTCCCGTGGTCTGTCCGTAGAGCCCAAAGATCTCCCGCAGTTTCTCCTCACTGATGGCCTCTGGTCTGTCGATTTTGTTCCCCAAGATAAGGATTGGCACGTTGGATATTGTTTCATCTGTCATTAGCGCCTGCGTGCAAGACGGAGCAGTGAAACAGAGGCAGAAAACACATTCACAATTTGAAGAAAAACTTTCTGTTTTGTGCTGCGCACACATTTCAGCCCAGAAAAGGAGAGTATTATTTATAATTTAGCTATTTGGAGGTCTTGGGGAAGGAAAAAAAAGAAATAAGCTTACATTAAGCTCAACTTTGGATTCCATAAGACGCGAGTGATCTGCACAATCCACCAGGAAGACTATCCCATTGATGGCCGGCAGATAGTTCTTCCAGACCCGGCGAGCTGCAACACAGAAGCAACAAACGTCACTGCCCTGTGAGAACACTACCCAGAGCAACAGGGAAGGTACACCCCAACGCGGGAGCTGAAAATCATCCTGATTTCCTCACGGTGGAGCAAGACCTCCTGGTGAAGGGACAGGCTGAGGCCACACACTGGGCAGTTGTGTTCTCTGCCTCGGCACCCAAGGCTGCCTTTTTAGCCAGGGTGTCTTCCACTACTTTTGTGTATAAAAAAAATTTTAAAAGGCACAAAAACTTTTCTTAGCATTGTTCTATTGGTTTTTTTTTTCCAAACTGCCAGAATTAAGGAGAAGTACTGAACCACTGAAACAACTGGTGTCCTAGAGCCAGGAAATTATTTCAACATACTGCTCCATAAATAATTTCAGGCAACAAAACAATTAGGTACTGCTAATTGCTATCACTTTTTGGTAATCTTTCTTAAGGTTGCTGGAGAACACCACGGAAATCAGAAGGTTGACCTCACTTGCTGTCTCCCACTCAGCAACTTCACTTTTACCTTGCTCGTGTCCACCCAGATCAAAAGTCGTGAAGGTCATTCCAGCAATCGTCAGCTCCTCTGATGCTGGAAAGGAAAAAGACCAGGCTGTGTTTCAGGAAAATAAAGAAGCAGAATTTCTTGGGGACTTGTGTTAACATCACACATGCTCCTCCTATCTACATCCTGCAGAATTCAGTTGCGGGAGCAGTTTCACAAAATCATGAGTAGGAGAACATCATTTCTCCTCCCTCCCCACTTAAACACATGCTTATTAATCTGCAATTATTATATTTTATTACACTTTTCATTAGAACCCCACTCTCTCTCCAGAAGCAGCACACTGTATTAGCTGAACCATGCCAGTTCTCGGGCTCTTCATTTTATATTTGGGAGAAAAATGCAAATCCACTTCAGCTCAGGCAACCATTGCGCAACTGTAACCTCAGACACAGTTTTAAGATTCTTAAAGTCTGTCGCCCCCACGCAGAGCTACCGCTGAGGCACCTTTCAACACTATGTCTCCAAAATTAAAGAGGAAACTTCTCCCAGGAGGCAGGCGGGGCTCAGGGGCTGGCAGACTTACTGGGATGTAGTGTGGGGACATGCTGACCCAGCCGGTCATCTTTGAGCATGTGCAACAGAGTGGTTTTGCCTGCGTTATCCAAGCCCAGGAACACAAGTTTTCCAGACTTCTTGTACAAACCTGTGAGGAAAACAAACAAGAACAACTCCAAGAGGGTAATCTCGGAACAGGAGCAGGAACGCCGTGATACTCGCCACTGTTTATATGCAAAGCCTTTGCTCATAGCTGTGCTGTCACCGGTGCGTTTACAGCACTGCCAGCACAGACACACGACAGCGGAGAAACTGTACAGCTTGAGCTGACTTTTACCCAGTCAACGTGAGGTCGTGTTTACAGCAACAGACATCTTCTAAGATCACATTTCTACGAGTAATGGATTCTTTCCTCGGAGACATTTGAGCAGGAGAGCGTGCTGTAAAGTATTCTTTACAGGCAACGGGTTACAGACCAACCTGTCAACCCGCAGGGGTATTTAAATGCGAAAATGGAATAAACCCATAAAAATAGCAGTGAGTTGTTGAAGAAAAACTGCAAACCACAAAACAACACATCATTGTCTTTAGATAAACTGATTTTTTTCCACTTCCAGGTATGCATCTGCCAGAGGCAAGTTCCCTTAGGTTTCCAACAGCACTTTTTCTCGTCCCTCCCTACCCTTAACGAGGCACTCCAGCCAGAGAGCACCCCATCCTCCAGCAAGGAGGAATTCATGACTCTGGCAGGAGGCACTTTGCCATCACCTGCACCTTAGGACAGGGCTGCTTGTGCCGCAGTAAAGTGGACAGCCCAGATGTGCAGGTCACCCTGGGTTGGGCAATGTTTTGGCCAGTGCCTCCACAAAGAGCCTTCAACCTGGATCACCCCGGGGGCATTAGTCAGTGGCCAGCAGCTCCCCCCAGCATGCCACGGCGAGTGGCTTGGGATAGCATTTGAGGAGAAACAAGGATGAGCTCTGACACCAGGAGGAGGAAGAGGTTCCCCATCTGCCCAGGGCAGGGCACTGGGCTAAACAGGCCCTTGGCATCACCCCCGCTGCTCTCAGGCTTCTAAACAGTGAGAGAAAGATTGAGGGGGCGCCCAGTCCCTCCAAATTATTCTCTCAGAAGGCAGCCTTACCTAGGAACTGCAGCACGCTGCTGAAGCCGTTGTAGAGCCATTCGAAAATGAACGACATCGCTGAAGATTAATTGCCTGCGGGAACGAAAGACAAAAACCACCCTGAAAAGCCTCGGTACTCCCTGCAAG